AGTGTCTCAAAGGAATGTAATCAAAACAGAAGAAATATTTTGAATACTCTTTTCTTTAAGACATTACTGACTTCACCTAAGGAGAAAAAACATACCTGCTAACTTTAAATCCTGAAATGGCAACAAACTGAAATACTTCTTAATAAAGTAAAACAGTGGCGTAATAAGAGAACTACTAAATGCAGGAACTGCAATCCAAAGGTAAGCCTTGCTGCAGTATAACCAAAAAAAGGTTTAGTTTTATAGACAATTAGTAAGTGATTTACTAGTCAGTTTTAACTGGGTTTCATTTCAGTCAAGTTTTAACTGGGTTTCACTTCAGTCAAGTTTTACTAGTAGTAGCAAACACCAAAAAAAAAATAGCCTATAATTTTTCAAAAGGAAATAATGTTATTACTCATGCTGGAAAATAGTTTGTAGTACTCAGTTTTGGAGAGTGTATATTTTGTCTCAGTCTAGGCATTATCTCATGCTTATTCATATTCACGGGGGTATACGTTGACTTTCCAAACTAGAAACCAAAATTCAAAAGGGAAATAGCTCCCTCCTTTATTGTTGATACTTTAACTTTCTGATTACTTGTATATTCAAGAGCAGTTAGGCTTAAATTACTAGACACAACTACCATATTAATTTCAAGGGTATGTTTAAGAGGCTCTTTATATAGTTTTCATTACTTCTCAGCCTAAAAGGTCAACACCTGAAAGGGAAGTCATTCTCAAGACTTGTTCTCTGCATACCTGACATTTATTGTGCTAGACATTTCAGTTGTGTTTTATTCAAGCTATTTTTCATATATAAAAAAGCCAGTCTGGCTTATAAATATGATCAATTGAAAAGCAGCTTTAACATGCTTCTGTAAATGCAGGTACTGGCTATTTTAAACTATTAAATATTACTTTTGTCAACTGTAATGTGCTTTAACAGTAAATTACAAGCTTGATAACATATGTAAATCTGTATTCATATGTCCCTACAATTCCATTTAGGACGGTTACATTTATCAGTAGGTAGTTAAATATTCATGATTGGCTGTTTATGATTTGGCAAGTGTGAGTTGAGTTTCTATTATGAAAACTAGTTAATGTGCTCAAATCAAAGTAATCACAGTCCTATCAAATGAGTCATGAAATAAAAAAATCTGTTTTTGCATTTAAAAAAATATGTAGGGTTTTCCATTAAACCAGGTACTCTAGTACTATTCAGAACATAAGCCAACAACTTTACTCCATGGAAGTGGTACTTTACTCCATGGAAGTGGCTGCATTTTTGTCCAGTCAGCAACATCTAGAATAGAATAGCTTTATTGTCTTTGTACATTCAGTTGTGTCCAGTCTGAGGTCCTGGGATTTTTTGTGGAGATGGTGTAACTGCAGATGCATATTCACCTGCCACTTTTGACATTGGTGGCTTTACACATTTGGTCAATCAGTATGGATTTCTGCATGTATGGTACACAAGGCTGATTCAAGATATTGACCACAGTGTCCTGCTTGAAGAGAAGTCTTTATGCATATTGCTAACACACTTTATAATGTTTTGATTGGCCACAATCAAAGTATGTTGTAGAAGTACAGTATAGGTGAGAACACTTGAGAATCATACATCAGGGGAACCACTGACTGCATAGGGAAGCTGATGAAGAAACACAACCTACAAACCAACTAAGAAAATTCAACAAATGCTAGGTTCAGCAAAGGATAACCCCTGCAGGAATCTACTGTATATCATGCAGCTGTGGACAAGTCTACATAGAGACCACCAAACGCAGCGCCCAGGCAAAAATAAAAGAACATGAAAGGCACTGCAGATTAATTCAACTAGAGAAGTCAGCTATAGCAGAGCACTTGATGAACCAACCTGGACACAGAATATCATTTCAGAACACAGAAATGCTGGACCACTCTGACAACCATCATATCAGACTACACAGAAAAGCCCTAGAAATCCGCAAACATGTGGACAATTTCAACAGAAAGGAGGAAACATGAAAATGAACAAAATCTGGGTACCGGTATTAAAAAAACATGAGACAGCACCACACAGAAACAGAGGAATTCCAGTCCTCTGGAATCAAGTGCCAGTTAACACTTCCGAGACAAAGGATGCCTCCAGGCACAGGAGCCAGGCTACCTCTGCAAATACCCTCACTAATTGACTTTGCAGCTGCAAGGCTAATCAACGCTAATCAAGCTTGCTAATTACAACATTCACACTTGCTTCAAATAGACAAGGGTTCTTTCTACCATCCTGGACATTCCACAGATATATATACACTTCACTTGCCTCACCTCTAACAGAGCTCTGAGGATGCCAACCACAGATACACATGAAACGCCAGGAGATAATACAACTGGAACATGCCCAAAAAAGTCACAGCAACCCAGTGATCCTGGCCATGAGAGCCTTCAGCAACACATTGTAACAATTATTTTAGGTACTAAGAACTATATTTGTTTGTTTTTATTGACTTCGTCAAAAGAAAGCTACTTTTGCTTTTCCACGTTCATCAGTGTATTTTGTAATACTGTGGCTTTGCCACACCCAGAAATGGCATGGTTACTATTGAACATTATTGTCCCTGGGGAGAGTGATGACACAATTTATTAAAATCACAACTGCTTACTGATTAACTTAGCAAATAAAATGGCATTATTTTTCCAGATGGCTATTTTGTCAAAATAAGTTTTCCATTGTGTAAAGGTCAAGTAGGAATACGTAAAAACTGACCTTCAGTTCAGAGGATATTACTTTTTAAAAAACTTTTTAAAATATAAGATTTACTTAACTGTCAATTTGATGGTACAGAAACATGCTTTATATTTTGTTATTTGAATAATATTTAGTTTGAATGCCTCATATAGGAAAGTATTAGAGGCAATGGATATTAAGCAAATAAGCTAGGATCCAGATGTGTTAGCAACTGATGAAAATATAAGAACATAACATTACAAAACAAAACAAAAATCTTCTGCATGTAAGTGTAGAAGTCCACCCTATTTTTCATTCCCAAGTAGATGCAAGCAAGCTAGAAAGAGTAAGTAAACATATTTTAAAAAGGTCTCAATAATGCATTTCAAGAAGCAATGCTTTTTCTTTCTAGTTTGAGAATGATTGAAAACTTGGGCTTAACAGGGAAAAGTTATATACAGTATGTAGACAATTGAGACGTTTCCTTCCCTGTTGTAGGATTCTAACTTTTCCTAGTTCCTTTCCCAAAGAACTATTTTTTGTTCCCACTCCCCGCCCGACTAGGACAAAACCCATTTCATTAACTTCTGCAGATTTCTGAAATCTCTACAGATCAATTCACATCTTCCTGTTGGCCTCCAGCTGCATGCATCTATCAACTTTTGTGTCATGTGCAGATGTAATTAGTGGATGACTTCTCCTTTCAGATGAAGACATAAAACATTTTGCAAGGAAGTGACACCAAGCTTTTGGAAGTACTTCAAATACACCACTTATACTTTTGCACCCAATCAGTGAAAAATGCCCTTCAATATGAATTGTCTTATTTGTTTTACTAGTTATACAAAAGAGAAAGACTGGTATCCCTTGTCTATAACGCTTGAGACCAGAAGTGTTCCAAAGAGATTTTCATGTATACATTTTCTTTAAAATAATCTTATTGAAAGAATAAGATAGTATTTTTAAAGTATTAAAATCAAGGGAAGGGTAGAGGGTTGGATACACTCCAAAAACAGAAGAGTGAAAATGGAAAAAAATAAGAAAAGAAGAAGAAGGAGTCTGATGGAGGGGGGGGGGGGGAGAGAGAAAAATAGAATTGACTTCCAATCTTCTCCTTGGATGCTTCTAATGTCATTTTTTCCAATTGTTGCATTACTGCTATTCCTCTTCATGTCTCTTCCTCTGAGGAACAGATTTTGTTTCAATGAGTGATCTCTTCTATCCAATTCATTTTTTCTTGTTTCATAAAATGCATCAATGCTGACCAATCTGTTTCATTTTTTTTCTGTGTGTCTTGAGTAATTGTGTTAATATGTTCATTTTCATTATTTCTGTCACTTTTTAGTATCCATTGGTCCATTGTTGGTAGTTCTTTTGATTTCCATTTTTGGGCATATGTTATTCTAGCAGGGCCTTCCTGGTGGTGGCCCCCCGCCTGTGGAATTCACCTCCCGGGGAAATTAGGTCATCGTCATCCTCACCTTTAGAAAGAAGATAAAAACATGGATGTGGGGCCAGGTCTTCGGGTAATTAGGTGGAAATGACAATTGACAATGTTGAAAATGTCTTGGAAATGGATTATGGATAAGTTAAATGGAATTCTCATTCATAGTATATGGCTAGATAAATGACCACCAGACTGGTAATAGCTCAGTGGACTGTAAGTATATTGTTTTAATGTTTAAAGTTTTAATGCTTCTAACTATTATAATTATTGCTGTTTTGTATTTTATTATGCGGCATTGAATTGTTGCCAATTGGAAGCCGCCCTGAGTCCCCCCAGGGGTTGAGAAGGGCGGAGTAAAAGTATTCGAAATAAATAAATAAATAGCCACCGTTGTTAGATACTGGAGTATTTTGTCATCATTTTTCTCTGTTTCGAAGTCTTTAATTCGAAGTAGAAAATATTCGAGTTTGAATTGAATTTTTTTAGTTTTCTCATATATTTCCCCCCCCCCCCCCGCTCTATATATATATAGCTTTCTTTCATGACCATCACATATGATAAAATGTTCCGGTACTCTCTTCACATTTCCAGCATTTATCTTCAGTATTTTGATAACATTTTTGGAGTTTTTGAGGTGTTAGGTACCATTGGCACCTAAGTTTATATTCCTTGAACTATCAGAAAGCAAAGTGTGTCACTATCTCAGCTATTATGTGGAAAATTTTGGATTTCAGAATTCTGGATAGGGAATGCTCAACGTGTACTTATATTGGGATATCCTTTATAGAATGAAAATCGCATGTTTCTGATTAAAAATTCATCTTCCTTTTCCAACCAAATAATTTGTTTTTCTTTGTTTTAGTTTAGACTTGGCTCATTGACGCTACAAAGAATCCCAAGCCCAACTGAAGTCATCAGCAAGCTGATTAGCTATTGCCTAGACTTCATTGTAGGACTCCATGCCAAAAATGAGCACCTTCAAAAAGAGAATGAGATACTTCTAAATGATCTGAATGATGTGCAGGGCCAGTAAGTTCAAAGATATAACTTTGATAAGATATTTTCCTCCTGACTTTTATCCTTGTATTGATACCTGCAAGCTTCATGCCTTGCAAAAGTAATGGTAACAATGTAATATAATTGTTACATATTATATCTGTTTATGTGACTGTTGAAGTATTCATGTTGATTTACAAAAGGCATATAAATGCTATATTAAATGTGCTTGGCGTTATTTTGTTGGATTTTGGAATATGCCATAAATGTCTTAGGGGTCACATGCAAAGAAACTTCATGGGTATAGTTATTTTTTTCAATAGGATTGAATGTTCTCAATGTGTTAATCATACTCGACACACCAATATTTCCTGCTATTAATATAGTGTAGGAGTGGGCATCTGGTATGGTTAGTGGGCCAGTTTGGGCACTGTTAAATCAATCCTATATGGTATGAAGCATCACTTCTGATGGTGACCAAAAGTAGTTTTCTGAGCAACCAAAAATTACTTCTGGCCACTGTATTGTCGAAGGCTTTCATGCAGCTGTGGACAAGTCTACATAGGGACCACCAAACGCAGTGCCCAAACACGAATCAAGGAACATGAAAGGCACTGCAGACTACTTCAAACCAGAGAGGTCAGCCATAGCAGAGCACCTGATGAACCAACCTGGACACAGCATATTATTTGAGAACACAGAAATGCTGGACCACTCTAACAACCACCATGTCAGACTACACAGAGAAGCCATTGAAATCCACAAGCATGTGGACAATGTCAACAGAAAGGAGAAAACCATGAAAATGAACAAAATCTGGCTACCAGTATTAAAAAAACTCTAAAATTACAACAGCAAAACAACAGAGGGGAAACAATCTGGGACATCTAATCACCTCTCAACAAAAGATTGCCCCAGGCACTGCCAGGCCATCAAATGCTAATCAAGGTGGTCAGTTGAAACATTCACACCTAGCTCCAGCAGACAAGAGTTCTTTCTCCCACCCTGGTCATTTAAAAAGAGTAAACTTTTTCCTAGTTCCAACAGACCTCACTACCTCTGAGGATGCTTGCCATAGATGCAGGCAAAACGTCAGGAAAGAATGCCTCTAGAACATGGCCATATAGCCCGAAAAAACCTACAGCAACCCACTTCTGGCCACATTTGGAGAATTTCCAGCCAATGCCCAGTTTTATACTCCAGGGTAGTTTTCAACTAAAGTTTAGAGGCAGGGCCTCTAAGGATATCAGACACCACAGAGGGTCCCCAAAGACTATGTATGGCTTGTGGAATGCAATGTTTCCATCCCCATATAACACAACATATGTACCTGATAAATAGACAATAGACATCTCCCCTTACATGTAGTTCAGTAATAAAAATCCTTTTCATATATGTTTTGGTATTCATCAACAAAAGTGATGGAAATGTTTTTTTAAAATAATACGAGTGTCAATTAGTATGATAACTAAGTTGAAAAATACATTACAGATGTAAAAAAAAATCACAATTGGTTGGATATTTAGATAGCTGAATAAATGACTTGAAAATGATTGCCTTATATTGAAGTAGGAGTTCAACAGTCAGCCAAAGCACAAATAGCATAGAATAATAAAAAAAAATGAAGAGATAGCATAACAAACAATGGTAATGATAAATACAGTTTTCACTTTTCAAATATTTAAAATGCCCTCTTCGCTTTAAACGGATTATGTTTAAATCTTCAAAAAGGAGGAAGCTATCTAATTTTTGTTAGTGGAATCTTTGTGTGGCATTTATCTGTGCTAAATTTGTCATTTGCTGATATTAGCATAATCACTTTTAGTAATGATAAAAGCAGAATTACACCTGGTTTATTTTTCCCCCCAGTGCAATCCTATATGAGTTTACTTAAAAGCAAATTCCACTGAATTAAATAGCAGTTACTTACAGATATGTGGGTTTCAGCTAAATGGTTATAATTCAAAGGTTTCCAGGTGCCATCTTACTGAATGGAATGATGGATGTGTGTTTTCCAAATGACAATGTCCCATGGCTAGTGCATGAGCAGAACTGATGTATTTGAACCCTGCAGGAACAGCACAGAAAAGGTTGCAAGAATCAACTTATCCCAACTTTCTGAAACATTTGTTTTAATTTGCTTTTCTAACAAACTGTGCACAGATATATCTTTGTGTATTAATTTATATATTTTAACATTTCTAACTGACCTCAACATAACAGTATTTTTGATGTATACATGAAAATCTCTTGGTAATTGATTAGTATATATGATCTTGCTTTTAAGAGCTATTCAGCTGATCTATATGGTAATAATACCCAGGCATTTGCATTTAAATTAGATGAATTACTTATCAGGTAACATATTCACAAAGCATATTAGGGGAGACTAAGTTAGTAATTCTTAAAATAATGATATGATTTGTTTATTAAATATATAAATCTTTTAAAACCTATATTTGGTGATATTTTAACATTTCCTAATATTCTAAAGGGACAAAATTCGTCCAAAATGTATGTTCAGTACAACTGGTCTTTATAGTTTACAAAAAAAGAAGCATTTTGAAATGTTTTGTAGGTCATGGCCTAGAATTTACAAAGAGTGTTGAATTCCAAGAACAGCTTTCTTCATTTCTGTAAACTGAAATGGTTAGTACTCATGGAAAGCTTCTTTTTGATGACTTCAGGTCCAGTAGCAAACTGTGCAACTCTTTTTGGACTTTCTTTGGATTCATTATCTTAGCCAGGATTTTGATTTGGGGGGGGGGGGGCTGAGTTTGATTTGGGGATGGGGCTGACTCTGAGTGAGAGAGGATCTACCCTAGCAAACCTTTTGTATCGTTATCCCAATACCCCCATGAAAAGGGGATATATTGAGCATGGTGATCAGATCATGAGATGAATAAACATAACAGTTTAAACAATGTACCAGTAGGGCCTTCTCGCGGACCACCCTGAGAATTTTGGGGGGTGGTATGGGACTGTTAGTAGTGTTGTTTTTTATGCCTTTTGACCAGTGGTTCTCAACCTGTGGGTCCCCAGGTGTTTTGGCCTTCAACTTTCAGAAATCTCAGCCATTTTACCAGATTTCTGGCAGTTGAAGGACAAAACATCTGGGGACCCACGGGTTGAGAACCACTACTTTAAATAAAGAAGTACAGAATTACTGTTTAAAGGCTGTTACATGTCAGAATTATATGTTTTTTAGAAATCATAAAAGTTTGCCAGTAGCTTGCTAACATTAAAATTATTTGGTGCTTTTGAGAAATGATTGCACTTTTTGGCTGTTTGCTAATCATTTGTTTTTTCAGTTGCTGAGACAAGATGGTTCAAAGCAAATTTAGCCTTTTTGCGTCTTTATCACCTGAAGGTGGCCATTATCTCCAGATAGTCCAATATCATATTGCTCTTACTGATTCTTGTAAGAGTTTGTTCATATGATTGCTTGAACTTGTTTCTACAATTTGGTGTGTGCCATATAAATATTTTATAATAATATAAAAGGCACAATAGTCATGGATTTTAGTTATATGTTAGCTATGCTACAATTGTAGACACATTTTATATACTAGCGGTACCTGCCACACGTTGCTGTGGTCAACCTTCACTCCCTCTTTCTCTCCTCTTTTCTTTCTCTCCTTCCTTCTCTCCCTCCTTCCTTCCTTCTTTCCTTTCCTTTTTTTCTTTCATTTTCTGCTTTCTTCTCTTCCTCTTCCCTTCCTTTGCCCCCCTTTTTCTTTCCCTTCCTCTTTTTCCCCTTTCTTCTTTCTCTGCCTATGCTTGGACAGCAATTCCCAGCAGTCTTCCTGATCTATCTATCTCTCTCTCTCTCTCTCTCTCTCTCTCTCTCTCTAATCTATCTCTCTGGAGGATTGCTGGGAGCTGCAGTCCAGGAATAGGAAATTGGAAATATGCAAGGATTGGGATGCTCTCTAATCAATCCAAGGAGAAGAAAGCTTGCAGCTTGAAAGCAGTGCATTTGGATCATCCTCCTCTCCTAAAGGGCCTGGTCTAGGGGATGTTGGGAGCTGTCGTCTGGAAGAGAGTGTGGATATGCTGTTGTGTGTTTTGTTTGCTGGGGGAGTTGTTTTTGCGTATGCGCTATAGTGTCTTTTTGCTTTTTTGGCCTTTTAAGTCCCTTCTGTTGTGTTTTTCAGTGTTTTTATGAGTGATGGTTACTCGTTGGCCTGATAGGTTTATTATGTCCAAATTATGTCAAATCATCCAGTGGTTTTTGAGTTATGTTAATCCCACAAATGAACATTACATTTGTATTATATAGATTGCTTGGGGTTTGTATCATTAAGATGTATCGTATATCGGCTGTGGAACGCCCTGCCTGCAGATATCAGATCGGCCCCCTCCCCGCTGGCATTTCGGAGGAAAGTGAAGACCTGGCTGTTCGAACAAGCATTTGATTAAACAGTGTAATTGAACATAGGAATACAGAATAATGGATGTTGAGACTGGATTCTGATTTTACTGTTGAGGCACTAATGATTGTTATGCGGATGTTTAATGATTTATGTTACAATTGTTTTTAATTGCCCTATACTTGTCTCGTGATGTTTTGTATTGATATTGTGCACCGCTTTGAGTCGCCTGAGGGATGAGAAAAGCGGTATATAAATAAAGTAAATAAATGAATAAATAAATAAAATGTTTTATCTATTGATAGTGGTTACCGTATATGTTTTTTCCCCCAGTATTGGACTATAATTATTTTTAGTTACAGTAATTATATGCATGTTGAAATCAACTTGGAATTTAAGTCAGAGGAATACAAATGTGAACAATGCATCGAGAGATGTTCATTTATTACATAGCTCCCCTTTCTCAAAACCTCATAAGCAATACAACCCTTCTACCTACCCAGCACAGCCATTTCTATGTTACTAGAGTAAGTATGTGTGTGGGGGGGGGGGGGGGGGGGGGGGAGAGAATGTTCCCAGATATTTTTATAGGTAGGTGTGCTGCAAGAGTGACATTTGCAGACATATTCCAAAGATTCACAGAGTCATTTGTAGATGCCTATTGTTGTATGTCCAGCTACAGGGAAATGGCTGGATGTGTCCCTGAGACACCCTTAACCCCCCCAACCCCTAAACCACTTGGGCAGGATGCCAACCATAATTTAAAAACACATTCGGATCTGCAAAAATTCAATATTTTATAATATAAAATTAGTATGCTCTTCTATATTAATCCAGGAGGCAGCTATCATTAGATACACCCATTTCATTTATCATATGCTACCTGTGTTATATACTGAATGGTTCGCTTGTGTGACCAGTTTGTTTCTAAAATGGGGTACTGGTTTCCAGTTACTCAGAATATCAGCATTTGCTAACACAAACAGAGTTTTGAATGTAAGCAGAGTTCAGATATTTTAAATAGTGCCTGGTTTAGCTTGAAGCAGGTTAATTAAAATTGAATCAAAGAAGTGATTGTATTTAAGTAGAAGTGTAAATGAGCCTTAAGCTCATTTACAGTTTTTTGTCCTGTTTTTAGAACTGGGATGCTGAAGAAATCTTTATATTGAAACAGTCGACTTATTTATTGATAGGAACTAACTTAAGTTGTTTGATTCCCTTATAACTCCTTTCCCCGCTTTTAATGACTCTTACGGTTTTTTACACCATAATAGAGAAACTCTTTAGCAGTGGTGTAAGTAACTTCTCATCTTAAACTTACAATTTTAACTACAGCCATACCAGTATTTCCATTAACAAAGCCCCTGATAATGCAGGTTCTCTTTACAAAGTGTTTTTACATCTGTCCAGTCTGCCCTTTTCTCCCTCATCCTCTGTTGGGATGGAGGTTTTTTAACATTGTGAGCATGGCAAAGGAGATCAGGAGAAGCAAGATTGTTGCTGTTGACTGTAGTAACATTTCTGTAGGAAATGTAAGGAAAGTTGAGCTGCGAAAGAGTGGGAGTCTATTCTACTCTCCCTATAACAAGCAAGATAAGCAGAAGCTAATTCTAGAATCCCTTACTTGAGTGAACAACAGAATGGTGAAGAAAAGAGAAGAGCAGATAAGCCTGTCTCACCAGCTGCTCCCAACATGTTAAAGACCTTTAGATCTTTTAAGTTTTATCATAAAAGAAGGCTTGAAGTAGTCTCTAGAAAATTCATTTTTTTTTCCTTCTATTTATACAAGGATGTGCAATCTGGCTAAGTTTACATGTGTATATTTTTGGTTTTGGGTGAACAGTTTGCTAACTGCTTTTCTTTTTAGTGGTATACCCCTATACTTTTTATGTTATTTCTGTTGAGGCTGTCTTCAAATCATCTTTAGGATTTAGGGAGTGTGAGTTTAGGGATCTTCAGCAAAAAAGGGGTGACTATCTGCTATTGATACCTATTCCTCTGGCTGACAAGCATTAGTTGATGCAATCATATGCAACCTTTAGGCTTTTCAAATAAACTGTTTTAAAGATTGCTCTTATGAAGGTTTCAACATATAAGGTTCAACAACCTATTTAGAAGATTTCCACATTTTCCCACTGGTATTATGTGTATAAGTGATTAACACCAACAGAAGAGACATCCTAACAAATTCATTTTTCTTGGATTGTAGTAATTGACATACATACCCACCTTGAGCCATAAATAAATAAATGTTTACGTGCTTTATGCTGTATTGGACATTTTGATTTAGGTTGCTAAACAATGTGTTCGTTTTGGAGACCTTGCCTTATTTTTATTTTAAAATGTTTTTAAAGGTTGCAAAAATGTGTTGAAGCTAAAGAAGAACTAGAGACTGAGCTGTATAAAAGGTTTATCCTGGTCCTGAATGAAAAGAAAGCAAAGATAAGGAACTTACAGAAATGTTTAAAGGAGGCTGAGGAAACAGCAGTGAAAGCCACACAAGCAAGGTACTGTATATTATTTTCCTTGTATTTCAAGATTTTTGCTTAAAATAGGTATAGGCAAATTATTTCTTTGATAATCGACACAGCTTTAATCGAGTATTCTTGAACTGAAATATTATGTTGTGTTCTAAAGAACAGATAGCTTTAACTATTCTGCACTTTAATCTCTTCAATTCTACTTAAGTAATAAAGTATGGAATTTGAAAAGACATCAGGTTGGATGAAACTGATGCAGCCTATTTTAACATTACTTTTTAAGTAGTATTTGAAGGTTAAAGTTTACATTTGTCACTCTGAGGAAACTAACAATGTCCTAGAAAATTAGAAGATTTGCTTTTGGAGTTCAGGCCCCAAAACAGGGTTATGCACTGATCACTTGTGGAAAATGTCAGCAATGGAACCACATTCATTTAAGATTTTTTTTAAAGAGATGAAGCTAAAGGAGAGAAACAAGAGAGAGGAAACAAAATGAAAATACATACGTAAAATTAAAAATTGGATCTTACATTGCAAGTTAGAGCAGCAACTCAGACTAGTTCTGAAAGAGCAAATGGGTTGAAGGACTTGGCCAAATCTTCGCCCTGACTTTATTGTCTCTAAAGTCCACTGTACGTGGACACTGTCTTTTCCTGATATTACATTTTCTCAGTCCTCTACATCACTCTGTATCACTGCCCACCAATTTAATAGTGTCCCACAGACTCTTGGAAATATTCTGGAAGAAGAAGGGTATGAAAATCAGATTCTATCAACTCCATTATAAATTTTCAATTTGGATCAATATTGCATTTCACAAACATTTTTTTGGAAATATAACTTTCATTACTGTGACCTAAAATATAAAGCAATGGTCATTCAAAAGTGGCATAAATCTGTTTTTCACCACATAAATGCTGGCCACTTTTGCTATCTTTTATGTGTACTGTACTGTGTGTTCTACATAATCAAAATGCTGATGCATCTATTTGTAAAAAATATATAAAACTATAATATTATCTGAGTAGAACTTGCTTTCATATTGTTGTAGGGTTGTACCGGAAAGTAAAGCTGAAGAAGAAGATTATGAAGGCAGCACTGATGAAGAAAGTGAAAATTTGGTAGAGCCTTCCACATCAGCACCTGGTAGGATAAACCAAGTTGTTTCATATCATTACAATTCTTGCCCATTTAATAGGAATGCTACATCATGAATCACAAACTATCAGGCTTACTTAATATCAAATGAGTGTGGAAGTGTACAATAACATTATTTCTGAAAACCTTCATTTGGAGAAGGTATAAAGGCCATCAAATTAGGGGGAAAAAACCCAACAACTTATATCCCCATACCAAAAGGGAAATGTTAAAGAATGCTCAAACTTTCGTACAGTGGCACTTCTTTCAGATGCCAGTAAGATAATGCTCAAGATCCTGCAAAGTAGACTCCAGCAATACATGGAGTGAGAGTTGCTAGATGTACAAACTAGGTTTAGAAAAGGCAGAGGAATGAGATCAAATTGCCAATACCCGTTCGATAATGGAGGAAGGCAGGGTGTTCCAGAAATGTATCTATTTATGTTTTATTCACCTTGTCTGTCTCCTGAGGAATCTGTATAACGGCCAAGTAGCAATAAGCACAGACCATGGAACAACCGACTGATTCAAGATTGGGAAAGGATTACGGCAGGATTGAATACTCTCACCCTACCTATTCAACTTGTATGCAGAACATTCAACATGCAGGGCTTAATGAATCCAAGGTTGGAGTTAAAATTGCTGGAACAAACATTAACAATTTTAGATATGAAGGTGATACCACTTTGATGGCTGAAAGTGGTGAGGAGGTGAGGGGCCTTATAACCAAGGTGAAAAAAGATAGTGCAAAAGCTGGGTTGCAGTTAAATATCAAAAATACCAATATTATGGCAACCAGACTGATTGATAATTGGCAAATACAGGGAGAAAACAAGGAGGCAGTGAAGACTTTGTATTTCTAGGTGCAAAGATTATTTCAGATGTGGACTTTGGCTAGGAAATCAAAAGACGTTTCCTTCTTGGGAAGAGAGCAGTGATCAATCTCAATAAAATAGTGAAGAGTAGAGACATCACACTGGCAGTGAAGGCCCACGTATTTAGAGCAATGGTATTCCCCATAGTAATCTATGGATGCAAGAGCTGGACCATATGGAAGGCTGAGCAAAGGAAGATAGACACTTTTGAACTGTGGTGTTGGAGGAAAATTCTGTGAGTGCCTTGGACTGCAAGAAGATCAAACCAGTCCATACACCAGGAAATAAAGCCCGACTGCTCACTGGAGGGAAGGATATTAGAGGCAAAGATGAAGTACTTTGGCCACATAATGAGAAGACAGGAAAGCTTAGAGAAGATACTGATGCTGGGGGAAATGGAAGGAAAAAGAAAGAGGGGCCAACCAGGGCAAGATGGATGGATGTTATCCTTGAAGTGACTGACTCGACTTTGAAGGAGCTGGGGGTGGCGACAGCCGACAGGAAGCTCTGAAGTGGGCTGGTCCATGAGGTCACGAAGAGTCAGAAGCAACTGAACGAATCAATATCAACATAGTAATGTTAGGATCCAGATGCAGTTCTACTATTTTCAAGATGATATTTTTAATAGTTAGCCTTGTTTATTGTATGCTATTTTTGTATTTGTATGGTTCGTAGTTGAATTATATGCTTTACTCTAATTCTTCTGATATGCATTGCTTTCACAGCATTTGCTGAAGGCAATTCATGAATTTCCTTAATCAAATAAATACGATCATAGTTTAGGAATGAGGAATAGGCTGCATCCTTGTTTTCCCTTAGTCTCATGCTATTTAGCAGACATCACAATTGGTCCGCCCCAGGAGGCTTATGGATCCGGATGGATTCCTGATGGCTCTTGGGGAATTTCCCGCCACCTCGGTTGGTGATCCTGTTGATGCTCTGGTCGCTCTCTGGAATGGGGAGATGACTAGGGCAATAGACACGATCGCTCCAGAACGTCCCCTCTCAGGTAGCCGAGCTAAACCAGCTCCTTGGTTCACCGAGGAGCTGGCAGCGTTGAAGCGAAAGAAGAGGGAACTAGAGCGCGTGTGGCGTTCGGATCCGAGCGAGCCAAATCGAACACGGTTTGTGTCCTTTTTAAGGGCATATGCCGCGGCAATAAAAGCCGCAAAGAAGACTTTCTTTGCGGCCACTATTGCGTCTGCAAAGAACCGTCCGGCTGAACTGTTCCGAGTTGTCAGAGGCCTATTAAAACCCACCACTCAGGATGGGTGCCCTGATGACTCGGCAGCTCGCTGCGAAGCTTTTGCTCGGTTCTTTGCAGACAAAGTCGCTTTGATCCGCTCTGGACTGGATACCATATTAACGGCAGTATCTGAGGATGTAACACGAGCATCTGCTTGTCCGGTTTTGATGGATTCATTTCAATTGGTTCAATCCGAGGATGTGGACAAGGTACTTGGAGGAATGAGAGCTACCACATGCATCCTAGACCCCTGCCCATCCTGGCTTCTAAAGGAGGCCAGAGGGGGATTGGCCGAGTGGGTGAAGGTGGTGGTTAATGCCTCCCTTCGGGAGGGCAAAAGTCCAGCCAGCTTAAAGCAAGCTGTGATAAAACCGCTGTTGAAGAAACCATCACTGGACCCCACTCAATTCGTCAACTATCGGCCTGTTTCCAATCTCCCCTTTTTGGGCAAAGTCCTGGAACGTGTGGTGGCCTCACAACTCCAGGCATTCTTGGTAGACACGGATTATCTGGATCCGGCACAGTCTGGCTTTAGGCCGGGGCATGGTACCGAGACAGCTTTGGTCGCCTTAGTGGATGATCTGCGTCGGGAGCTCGACAGGGGGAGTGTGTCCCTGTTGGTGCTGCTCGACCTCTCAGCGGCCTTCGATACCGTCGACCACGGTATCCTTCTGGGACGCCTCGTGGGGATGGGTCTTGGAGGTACTGTTTTGCAGTGGCTCCGCTCATTCCTCGAGGGTCGGTCTCAGAAGGTGTTACTGGGAGACTCCTGTTCAACCCCACAACCTTTGTCTTGTGGGGTTCCTCAGGGTTCAATACTGTCTCCCATGTTGTTTAACATCTACATGAAGCCGCTGGGCGAGATCATCCGGAGTTTCGGAGTGCGATGTCATCTGTACGCAGATGATGTCCAACTCTGTCACTCCTTTCCACCTGCTACTAAGGAGGCTGTCGAGGTCCTGAACCGGTGCTTGGCCGCTGTGACGGTCTGGATGGGGGCGAACAAATTGAAATTGAATCCAGACAAGACAGAGGTACTCCTGGGTAGTCGCAAGGCCGAACAGGGTATAGGGTTACAGCCTGTGTTGGATGGGGTCGCACTCCCCCTGAAGACACAGGTTCGCAGTTTGGGTGTGATCCTGGACTCATCGCTGAGCCTGGAACCCCAGGTTTCGGCGGTGACCAGGGGAGCATTCGCACAATTAAAACTTGTGCGCCAACTGCGACCAGTACCTTGGGAAGTCTGACTTAGCCACGGTAGTCCACGCTCTGGTTACATCCCGTCTTGACTACTGCAACGCTCTCTACGTGGGGTTGCCTTTGAAGACGGCTCGGAAGCTCCAATTAGTCCAACGGGCGGCAGCCATGATACTAACAGGAGCGGGGCGCAGGGAGCATACAACTCCTCTGCTGCACCAGCTCCACTGGCTGCCGATATGCTACCGGGCTCAATTCAAAGTGCTGGCGTTGGCCTTTAAAGCCCTAAACGGTTCTGGCCCAACTTATCTATCCGAACGTATCTCAGCCTATCAGCCCACCAGGACCCTAAGATCTTCTGGAGAGTCCCTGCTCTCTATCCCACCGGCTTCCAAGTGCGGCTGGCGGGAACGAGAGACAGGGCCTTTTCTGTGGTGGCCCCTCGGCTTTGGAACACCCTCCCTATAGAGGTACGATCAGCCTCCTCGCTGATGGTGTTTCGGAAGAGATTAAAAACATGGATGTTTAAACAAGCATTCGGTTAATCCGTTGCAATGTATATTGATGACTAAAGGACTGGTAATCATGGACGACGAATTTTGGACTGTGATTTTAGTTACGAGATGCATGGGATTATTATTGGTGGCCCAATAATTTGTATTGTATGTTTTATGTTTTAAATTGAATACTGTTTTTAATTGTTGTAAACCGCAATGAGTCGCCGACTTAGGCTGAGATATTAGCGGTATACAAGTGTATAAATAAATAAATAAATAAATAAATCACCATTTGTTTTAATCAAATCTGTGAATAATCAAGTATGTAAAAGTCAAACCCACAAATGTAGGGGTTAGGTTAATTAATTTATCATTTGGATACTGCAAACTGTCTCAAACAGCACTTATCAAGTCACATTTACTTATCTCAGACAAAGGGTCATCTGAGTGTTGAAAGTTTCTCATCTGGCCTCAGGCCCTTTCCAGACAGCTGAATAAAATACCATATTATCTGCTTTGAACTAGCATATGTGGCACCGTAGACTTAGATAACCCAGTTCAAAGCAGATATTGTGGGATTTTCTGCCTTGATATTCTGGGTTATATGGCTGTGTGGAGGGGCCCATAGAAACCTTTTATATACCCAAGTAGGGTTTTGTATGTAAAGGAAATCTCATTTGCAGCCTGACAATATTTTACTTCTAAAGGACTTCTAGTTTGAAGGTTCAAAGGTTATTGCAAGCAAAGAAATGAGCTCTTGTGGGTTGCAGTCCAGGCAGCTGTTGCACTGTTCTTTATTTATAACACATGCATAGAATTGAACTGAGCTTTGCATGGTACTGTACTAGTACAAATTGGTAAGATTCTTGCTCCACCATCCTTGCTATAGCTCTTTTTCTTGCTCTGAACTTAACACACAACTGAAATACAACTCTTAAAAACCTCCCACAAAATGTTTCAAACTAATTTTCTATATGATAGTTCTAACTGTAAATCAAAATTTTAGATACTTTGAATTTCAGCCTTTTGAAATGAATCATAATAGTTGATAGTTTAATCATATCTGAATATTTAATTTAATAACTGTTTCTCAAAATTGCTTTGATAACAGGAGCGTATAGCCATCATTTCATTCCAGGTTCAAGTGACGTCAAATCCATTTCTTCCCCTTCAAACAATGCCTTTCCCTAATTT